AGTACGCGGAGTATCTGGGGAGCTGGAAGATGAGAACTGGCGACTTTGTAGTACAGCTTTAGTGCGCGGAGTATCTGGGGAGCTGGAAGATGAGAACAGGCGACTTTCTAGTACAACTTTAGTACGCGGAGTATTTGGGGAGCTGGAAGATGAGAACTGGCGACTTTGTAGTACAACTTTAGTACGCGGAGCAAGCTGTGGAGCTGGAAGCTGAGAACTGGCGACTTTGTAGTGCAACTTTTGTACGCGGATGAGTCCTCTCGCGGCTGAGTCATCTCTCTCGGCTGCTCTGGCGCCCCTGCAGCTGAGTCATGTCTCCCGACTACCCGGCTCTCTTGAGAGGTTGACAAATTTTAGTTACTTTGCTTACTCATAAGTGGCTGCCACAAAAGAGTCATCGTGACGTTAGTATGTGTGTACTTCACCTTCATGACAAACGATGTTCGCTTGGAATACACGAGTCGCTTGTCATGATCGTGACGTCGTTTACTCTCAGGTCGCCTTGTTCGTGGAAACTTCAGTGTGAAATGTACGTTCTTCAGTTCTATTTGAACCTCTTCAGCGTTGTACTTGCACAACTAAGATTGACGTTGCGCTGCCGTTGCATCGACGCATCTACGTCTACTCCCCCTCACCTCTCTACATTTACATCTTCACACGCTCACATCCGCAGATCTACCTCTCCACCTCACCACACCCACACATCTGCACATCTATATCACATCTGTACGTCCACACTGTCGCTCCTTCACATCTGTCCTGTCTTTCTTTCTTTCTTTCTTTCTACATATCTTTTCTCTCGTCTCTGTGCATTTACATCTTCGCACGCTCACATCTACAGGTCTACCTCTCCACCTCCATACATCTACAGATCTATATCGCACCTGCACATCCACACTGTCACTCCTTCACATCCACCCTCTCTTTCTCTCTTTCTATACATCTTTTCGACAGTGCTGGACAGTTACATGTCTCGCTCTCGGGCCAACCGTCGTCTAGTTTACTTTAATTCTAATTTGTTACTACTAGATTCTTGTTCCTACTAGTAAGGCACTTGTTACTAGT